CTATGCTTCATTCACGTGTTCGTCACCAGCATTTTGTTGATTTATTGCAGACAGCAGTTGAGCTAGCCTAAATCGATACTGCCGAATATGATAAACTGACATATTTATTGGTGAGTCGCTCGCACTACGGCCTGGTAGAGATGAAGTTGCGTTCACCAGAAGAAGCGACAGTTTTAAATTGTAGCCCTCATCCGTGTCTGATACCAACGTGATCCAGTTGAGTGCATAATTGGTTTTCCACTTCGTGATTGCTGGTTTAAGTGGTGCGAATCCATATGTTGGAATATCAGGCTATTCAGATCCAGCTGATGGTCAGAGCACACCTGGGGGCGTCGTTGTCCGTATTTTGTGAGGTGAATATCGACTTCGCATTGACTGCTCAGGCGTGGCTCCAAACAGCTTGGATTATTGACTTGGGCATTCATACCACTGGGATGGATGACCGTATCAGTGTTCCTTGTCTAACGAATCTGCCTGGATAAATCTCGATAAAAAGTGTCCATCTCAGCGTCCGTTGGGGCATATGTCGAGACTACAATTAAGAGCCAAGCTTGATTCAGCTGAATAACCGAACTGTGCTCACTGAAATCCGAACCAGCAAAGCGCGTTCAGCTTTGAGGCTGAATATAGCACATTTCACGACTTGTCTTTTCTGGAACACCGGACACACAAAGAGTTAACTATGAAGAAACTGAGTTCGTTCTTGATGCCTTATGATGCATGACCGCACCTGAATCCTACGCGCTTGTCTCAGAGACAGCGTGCATCAATTTTAGGGGAATGTATGCTCTCGGCAGGCATTGTCTGTCTGATAATTTGACATAGGGTAAAGAAGTTGGAAGCTCCTTTGCAGAAGGAATCTCGTGGATGTATCAAAGCATTATTTTGTTTATTCATAATGGGAAATGGGTTGGATAAGACACACAGATTAGATAACTGACGATTAAAGATCAGCGACGTTTTCTGATAGGTTGGAAGGAAATTTTGAAAGATCACTGCTGAACATAAAACATTGAGGGCAAGTGGTACTTCGGACTCGCCCGGGTCAATCAAGAGGGCTTATTTTTCGTATATCCCGTTTTGAGGCTTGGACGAGAGAGGGGTCTCGTTCGAAAGCCCTGTCTCCATCCTCTCACCCAAATGTTTAACCCGTCGGGAAGCGGAGCCGACGATTAGGCAGATTTGCCTGCTTGACTACAGGGCGCAGGGTCCAGAACACAGTCCACTCATCATCCTGCGTGCTGTAAATGCTTTTGGAGCTGTATTGCGTACTCGATAGGTTTTGATTGTATTTCGACCGTATTGGATAAGTGGCCTGTGGTCACTGTCAACATCTGGGCGATGGTAGTTTGCGGTTTTTGGGACGGACTTCCTCTGACCCTCGCAACACATGATGAGCTGACAGACGAATAATGGATAGGCTGGACACTCCAGGTGCCTTCTCGATCATTCGGTTAAGCATCCACCATCGACTCCACTCAGTTCATTACTAACCTTCATGTCATAGACTGAGTCACCTACCCAATTTGAAACGGCTACCCAAAGGCAAGGAACCCCTGGAAGAAAAAGATCACGGTATAAGCACTCAACTTCTGCTTGATTGTTGTTTTGAAAACCTTCCCAATCCAGTTTTGTTCCATTTCGTCCGTTGCGATGTTTCCGGCAGACTAGGACATTTCTTCAAACACCAAAGAAAAGGTATACGGCCGTTTGTAAGAACCACTGAGAAATCGTTCTGATTGATGGCGCAACGAAGGAAGCGCTACACTACTGTTGCCTCGTCTGAAGCAAGCAACAATAAAATAGCCGAATTGAGGGTGTTTCCGACCAAGGAGTAGCCGTTTATTTATTTATTTATTTAATTTATTTATTTATTTACGCTGTGTCGCACTTTAAAACATCAGTTCAGATTCCAAAATTCAACCGCAGTACTTCGTGTGCATTTTGGATCTGGTTGAAACAATCACTGATCCGTCATAAACACTGGCGACCTTAATCAGGGGGCGGGTTTTACCTGGTTTTCAGTTTGTCTCAACTGAATGGGCCACAGATCTCGGATACACCAATGAAGTTGCCTTTTTGAGGATTGACACACCCCAGCTGCATCGCTTCTTTGCACTCTTCTTTGATAGGCTCACCATATTCAATACGATTCCGAACTAAAATTAAAACAAAGCTCCGCGAATGCCACGCTGCTATTCTTGTGAAGTCCGGCCCGTCCAAGTCGCCGCTCTTCACAGGTTTGGTTGTCACTTTCTTGGACTTATAGTGAGTGTCCTAAATGCATGATCTTCAGGCAACGCTACTTCATCATTTAGCATCTTTCCGACATTATTCGGTGCAGGCGCTTCAAATTGTTCGGACCCGAGGTGCTCGAGACTCCAAGAGGATGAAAATATTGATTAGTACAGCGGATGTGTATTCGACCCCGGGGAGTGTCGTTCAGTTTGTTTAGGTGCTGAATTCTTTATACCAGTGGCCGTTTTGTGTCTCTGTAATCCAGTTTTTCCCATTAGAATGGATAATGGATTTGCTTCCTTGTGTTACTGTAGAATTGGAAAGTTTTAATGAAGATTTCGTCCTGTAATGGAAGCCAATCTATGCTGAAAAGCAAAGAAGCCCTGTACAGTTGTTTCATCCTTATTGGGGATCATTAGAAGTGCGCACCTCATGTATTGCCATGGAGTCTCGAACCCGCGACCCTTCGGCGAGTAGTTTAGAGTTTAACCGTTCGGCCGCAAACACGGAACAGCAACATTACACCACTGGTAACATAAGGTCATGATTCGAGTCTGTGTTAAAATCCTATGAGGCTCCCAGTGGTTAAACCGTCACTACTCGTTTGGGTGAAGCATTTATTTGCGTTCCATGAGGGGAACCATGGATAAAACAAGAAAAGTAAATTAATGAGGGGACATAATCTGTGTTGCATGGTTTTGTGACCAATGTGTATGGTGTAGATTGGTGCGTTGGAACCTGTTCAGCCACCAATCCAGGCTGTTCCTGCCTCTTTGGGATCATGTAAGTAATAAGCAACCAAATGGAAGCCATCTGAATGGATAGGCGGTTGTCGCCATTCGACAACCGTTACCGGAACGTGCAAGTGAACAAGTGAATCCTGTTCATAGTGTCATTACTTTATTCGCTACCCATACGGGCTTCTTGCTTTGAGCACCTGTTGCCACTCCGCCAGAAAAGAACATCCCTCTAGCATGTTGAATCGATCCTATCATTTGTTTGTTTGTTTGTTTGTTGTTTGTTCCATTATCTTGTTTTTTTTCTACTCCGAGGATTGACCCCATATTAAGTATTCCATTTGTGCGGGTAGACTATAACGTGACTCAGGCAAGCTTCGCACCACTTCGTTACTTAGCGCTACGTGGCCAGTTGACAGCGTCAGGTCATAAAACTCGATTGTTTGGATTTTTGAACCACCAACAATCTATTTGAGTTGGACGGCAAGCAGTAAGGGCGTCAGGACTGTGCTAGCTTGTATAGTTGTATTTTGGTGCATTTTGACGTTCATTTCAGAATAGGTGGATATTTGATCTAGGGTTACATGTTGCTTTCCTTGGTCTACGGTCGATAACACCCGCACCACCTGAATCAGTTAGGCTTACTCACCACCCTCAGGCTTGATGTTGCTACTTTAGACGGTTCTGATCGAGCAAGTACATTCTTCGTCTGGGAAATTTCAGGTTTCGCTACCTACAGAACTGATGTTTTGCCACCTCGGTGTCTACCCGTTTGGTGTTCTGACTTTCAGCTGCCATGAATATGTTCGGAGGTTGTCAGCCGGCCGAGACCCGTATGTCGCTGTCGTACGCCAAACTGTCTGTCATTCGAAAAAGCCACCGGGAAATGAGACTTGAAATTTTCTGTTAGGTGACTTTAATCCCCCAGTTGAAAGTAAAAATTTGTGGCCTCTGATCATGTTGATAATGTTCAAGATTTCAATACCCAAAAGAAAACAACAACTAGGAGTGTGTTTGGGCTATTTTGCTCTTCCAGTATGGGAGGAACACGTACCGTACCTTGAAGCTCCCGATGATATGTTTCACATAGCTGTTCAGTGATTGTCACTTCCGCTGGATTGGAAAGTAGGTTGTATGACTAAGAGGGACCGTTTCACCTATGTTGCCGATCCCTCTGTACTCTGTGCTGCGTTTCGGCAAAGGTCCGTTGCTTACCGTTGCTGAACGGTCATGGAATCAGAAATTCGTATGTATGACATCCTTAGGGATTTCTGCTTCCTCACGCGTGTTATTTCAATCTCTACAACGTTATCTGTGCTATATTCAGGTTGGTTATCCAGAGCTCGAATACATCAAGCCATTTACCTGGTATGAAAGATGAGGTCAGGTAGTTCGAACTTCACTCATTGCATGGTATGGTTAACTCGAACGACGTGCTTAATGGGATCGGTCGGTGGTACTCTCAGTTGCTCTTACGAACCGCAGAAGCTTGGTTGTATCCCATTTGGTTTATTTGAATAAAAATTATCATCGATCATTATCCCCTTTGGTTCCCATATCTTGTGTTAATCAGCACATTGACCTGAAGGCGATGAGGCAAAAATCATTCGAGGCCTGTTGACAAGGCGCGGCTGTCTTAAGTATACTGGGAAGCTTAGCATCCTAACATCAGTTCCGCCCATTTAGGGCTGGTTAAAAACAATCGTGCCTGGGACATGGGCGGCATAATCGTATTTCCGTAGGTTTTTGTCAGTCTGTATGTCGTACCTTGTGCTGTGAGACGAAAGCATCCTCCTGTCGCTAATTGTGACCAAATTCTCTTAATTGCACTCCATGTGTGAAAGCGTGACTGACAGGTAAACCAGTAGTTTGAATACGATTTCCCCCTATTCTTCTCACTTGCTATCGTATTTCGCATTCTGTAGCTGTGTGAATCGCTTGACGAAATCCGGAACTCATTCATTTACCTACTCAAGCTTGAAGTGTTATTCTACATAAGCAAATTTGTTTTATCTCTCATGACAGGCTGCATTGGAGGCTATGACCGATCTTGATTTGTTTGGTGCTGATGGTAGTCCTCTATCCACAATTCATGTTTTCCCCGACGAGACGCAACAATGCAACACGGTTCTGGAAAGTGTTCTACCTCGCGAATCCAACTCAAAAGAGACGGATGCCGGTCTGCTCTGTATCATAACCTACCCTGGCTTCGCCATCACGGATGAACAGCTGAGTAAGCAGACGCGTGACACGATAGTTCAGAAGCTTCTTGGCAGGTAAGCAGTGTGGACTGAATGACTCAATCGAGTGAAATTATAATGACAGTCGTCTAGCTTTAAAACACTTTCAGTATGAAACTGCCACGCAACCTCAAAAGGTTTCCTGAACATGGTAGCGATCGAGACGCCGATGTTGGGTTCGAACCACGGACCTTCCTTGTCCGTCAGTTCGCGCCATAACCACTGAGCTACCTCGAGTTGGTTTGTGACTTGTAGACAAACCTGAGCTTTCTTAGCTCATGAATTTCAAGTTTACTGGTGTAATCCCTGGTGAGTGACTTGCACAAAAATACGCTGGCTTGGAAAAGCCAGCATGAGGATCAGGTGTCTTTGAGATTTTCTGGTTCCCTCATGTGATCCATAACGCTATTTATAGTAGTCGAGACGGACATGTTGGTGATATTTTTCTTCCCAGTTTGTGTTTGTTTTCGTAAGTTTGGCTTGCCAAAATTTTCCCCGTGAGACACTGCGTGCACCTCAACTTGGTCATAACTAGCATGGTGTGTATATCCGGATTACCTGTCAGAAGTCACAATGATTCTGTTACAAAGTTGAAATACTCCCAGCGTGTCTCTGGACATTGGAACCAATTTTTGTATAGTGCCTAAAAGACATTTCCGTACAAGTCTCAGTTTCCCAAGCGTCCACAATAATGTGCGTCATTGCACTATCCGATAAATTCCTGGAGGTAGAGGTCAAGTTGAACAGTCAAGCCTTTTTGGTCTGTATCATTGATTTGAGTACATTATCCTCAGTATATTGGGTGGCATCAAATGGTGCTTGCAGCAAGCATCGCAAGAGTATCATCCATAGATGTGGTCTGTGATTGCTTTTTTACAAAATGGAACTGCTTTGTGCTGGATCGGAAAGCGCTTCTGTACCGAAATAAGTCAGGCAAGCCCAAGACTATACAAAAGGACACGGGGGCGAGGTTGGAAGACATCAAGTTGCTTTACACCCTGCCGCTTGGCTGTAGACTCCGTCAATCGTCGTCACTGGTACTCGTGACATCGATTTCTTCCTATTGACAGGACTTCTGGAATTGCTCGTGCTGCCCATCTTTGTTTTACAAATTGCCAACGGACCCTTATAAAACTGCTTAACCTGACCCTTCTCAAGTCTATGTTCATCATCCAGCCGCGACTATGTGACTTCTTTTCAGCGTTTTATCTCATTGACTTCGATAAATTTCGTAATAGATAAAATTGTACTTTTGTCGGACACCACGAAGAGCTATGAAAACCCCGAACCGGCTGAAGGTGACCTCGAAAACAGAGAGGTGATGAAAGAATACGAACTCTGCCCATTGTGCCCATTATCGCCCCCTCATTATGTGGAAAAATCACATCTCTGTTAGGACTTACAACTCGCAGAAATTTCTTGAATATTGTAGTTATTTTGCTTCAAGAAACCTGCCCTCATACTGAGATTAATGGTGGTGTCATTACACTTGGTGATTACGGTTTGTTTCCAAATTCCGTGCTACAGCCTGCGGCGTTGTCAGATAAGTTAACAGGAAATATTGTTATACTAAAGTTCTTAAATTTCTTTCAGCTTAGGGATGCTGTTTACTGGTAGAGTGCAATTCCCACTGCATAATACAGTAAAAAAGTATTGCATGAATGACTTTGTAAGCGCTCTACTAAGTGCGGTTTTGGGTCATACCTGCTTGTGTTTCAAGCCATAAACAATCATTATCCGGTCAGTATGAGTATAGCGTACCATTTAGCTGCGGGCGAGTCACCAATTACTTTAGAGCTTCGTGAGGTGCACATTGCTGATGCTTTTGAACAAGCGTTCAACAGCTGTGCAGTTATTCTGGAATCTTCAGTATTTGATTGGCTTTGCCTGCAGGGTAAAAGCCAGATGATGTTGATGCCTCATTAGATGCCTTTGGTCTGGTACATATGACCCGTTAGCTTGCTTGCGGGTTAATTCACCCGATTTGCTGTTGAACTGTTCATTGTTTCTGTCGTCTAGTTTCTGCATTGCCATCCTGTCAGGTGAACCTTCAACCGGTTGCTGAAAACTATCTTTGAATCTTCATGGAATCTGGTTGAGTATCCCTCAGTAGGCCGTAGATCTTTTATGTGAACTTAAACCAGCAGCCTCACTAGGTTGTACCCGTCAAACCTGTGAACTGTTGTGGTTTTTTGCACGAAAAACCCTGTTTTTGGTCCTCATTCTATAACTGATCGATAGATTGTTTTTCACGTCATCCACTCCTTAACTGTGTTGTTGCATATGTTTGTGGAGGTGCGAATGCACATGATGGTTCTCTCCCTATTCGAAATGTCACAGATATGGCTGTCGTCGGTTTATTCGTGATGGATTCCGCACTGCCCGTGAAGATCCAAATCGCCAGTACTACGAACCTTGGGAACTACGTATGTTTGAGGGCATCGAATGTGAGTGGCCAATGTTCCTTGCCTGGCTGTTGCTTGACGCTGCTTTTCGCGAAGATTACGACGATGGTGATCGGTATCTCCAAATGCTCCAGGACGTGGTGGTGCGAGAGGTATGCAACCGGTAACGCTTTCCGTGCCTGCGTGTACTAGTATACCGTTGCACAAGCTCGGTCACCACTGTCATTGTGCGAATTGCTAATCTTGTTCACAATTCAGATTCTATAAGGTATATCCCTCTGGTAAGCAGGTACCTCCTATAGAGTCTACAACAAGCGTCCCGCGTCAACCGCGATCTGCTGGACGATCTCTCTGAGCCGGAATGCGACGCCCGCCTCCATGGTGGCTTCTCTTAGGAGTGATCGCTGTGCCCAGTCGTTTATCTGAATAAATTAATTATGAACTGCTCAGTGCTGTTTTGACTAGTTGATTAATCCGTTTAATACAGACAGACATATCCCAGTCATCTCGCTTCTTATGAAGTGCTTGACGGATATGCGCTGGAAAGTTATCACAGTTGGTTGTTCTCCTTTGTGGACTATGACCTTGAAGTCACCTAAAAAGTGCTTATCCAGTTGAAAATTTAGCTCCGCCCCCCTACCTCATTTTCTGTGAATTCACCACCTGGGTGATTTACGCTCTTTTTTACCTGACTTAGCAATGCACTGGATGCCCTTACACGGTGATCGTCAGTGGGGCTTTCAGCTAACAATTCAGGTCGGGCACAAGCTATACACCGGCTTAGACACGTGTGTGCTAGCAGTCCATTCTGCTTGTGAATAGAGGTGCACCAAATCGAATCTGGTTCACGGTACTATTGGCCTGACTGCAACAAAGAGCTCCAGTGAATTGGAACTCCATAGGGAATTCAGGAGATTACTTGGAAAGGTATCGTTTTTTTTATTTATGGAAGTGGGATGAGAAATGACAAGATCAGTTGAGACCACAGTACTTCAACTTTCGACTGATTTTTCGATGGACCGAATCTACACTGTTCTTTTTGCGGAACCACGGTTTTTCCTAGATAAATCAGAATATTTTAGTTTTTACTTTTTGTGGAGAAACGGCCACCATGAGTCGACTCACTTTTGACACCAACTCAATTGTTCCACGTTGAGAATTCTGACTTGGAAACAGGTGAGATTCAGCTGGTTCTTATCGGGATTATTCGGAAACTATTCAGTTCCATTGTCAAGGTATGAATAAGCTGATTGTATCAGTGGGTCTGGTTTCAAGACGAAACTGAGCGGATAACTGTATCCCAGACAGCTTGCAGAAAAAATACTATTCCGTATGAAAACATTCGTTGCATACCTTCTTTGTAACTGACTCGTTAGCTAGTGTGGCAGCAGTTCCTTTCCAGTCTTTGTGTAGTGCGGCTTTTCTCCTCAAATAACCATCCTTTTACTCACTCAGCTATTTCAACGCCACCCTCAATTGATGAATTCGCTTTACTTTCCGACACCATCAGTCTTCTGTCGCTTGTGAGGGTTTCAACGCATGGGAGAAACCAATGTGTCGTCGGACCAGTGAGGCAACCTCCTTGAGCAACACCATGACTAATGTGCTGATGCCAGAGACGTATGCCGTCCCAGTCGATCGGATCGACGCTGAATTGGCCAATCCACACTCACAGGACCGAGACGTCAAAGGAGCACTACCACATATATGGGGACAGTCGTTGTATATCCTGGCACATATTATTTACGAAGGCCTCCTGTTACCCGGTGAGATTGATCCGCTGGGCCGACGTTTGGTAAGTTCAACCTTGGCGCATCTATGTACTGTCATGAAACTGGTTTACTTATTCACTGAAAAACCTGTTCATTGCAACTGATGAATATCTGGTTTGAAGCATATACTAATCTGTGCATCAAAAGACGCATATTTCGGTGACATCTTTTCTTTGTTGTTCGCCCCCCAAGCGCTGACGGCTTGCATCTAATTCAGCCCGACTTCTGGTTCTACCAAAGTTTTGATCCACCCATTCTGCAATCGGTGCGCTGTTCGTGCTTACCATCCACCGATGGTCACCGATAGCAGTATCCTAAACTTAAGGCAACTCGCATAAAAACCGTCAGTATGTAATGTGTCCTCAAATAAAGGAGTGTGAAAACTAAAACTTTGTACAGCTTTACCCAGTGGCCAACTTTCTCATGTTAGCCACGGAGCCGACATACACTTCACTCAGGTAATACGTGTGGCCTTGGATATTGACGGCGCATTAAAATCCAGAGAGGATCACGACTGGAGCTCTCAATAAGATACTAGATCATTCGGCTGCCTAACTGCCATGCCACCAGAAGGAAGCACAAGGGCTGGGATACCACCATGTTGCCAAAGCCTAGACAGGGAAATTCGAGAGGTAGAGGTCGGTTTCGAACCACGAACCTTCGAGTCAGTAATTTCGCGCTTGAGCCATCTCGACCGTAATTCAGCGACAGTCGCTGTAATACTCTCCCCCAAGGAATTCGCTGAGAACGTGCAACATTGTCCGGCTAATCACGAGACTGAAAGACACGTGGCAGCCGGAGTTCGAAACGCAAGCTGTTGTGTCTTCCCNTATGTGCTTGTACACTTTAGTACCAGGCTTTGGTGAGATTCAGCAGTTTATCTGGCATGCTACCAGCCTTCAAGGTAGGATAAGGGGTGAGATGACTCAGTGATTAGAGCGCGAATTTACCGACCAGAAGTTCCGTGGTTCGAACCCGACATCTGCCTCTCGACTTCCCCTGTGTAGACTTGGGCAACCTGGCAGTATTCCAACCCTCGTTCTTCCTTTGGGTGGCATAGCAGCTAGGCACCGGAAGGGTGTGACAGCTGAACTATTATTGTTTATTCGTCAAGGTAGACTAGAAATATTCCTTATCGACGCATGTTACACATGTCAATGAGGTAAGCGGTGGTTGGTTACTGAAAATTGTAGCGACGTTTCAAAATGCGGCAATCTTTTCCCGGACAGAATCCTCCCTTGGTTCGGTCTGACATGAGACCTGTTTTTCCTGAAGCGACACAGCACCAGTAAAACAAAACACTGACTGCCATTCTACCACATTAAAAACTCGGCATTTCTCACACCTTTCGGTCATCCTTGAGTATCGGAGTAGTATCGAAAGCGTCTCTTACGGACGGCACCGCAGCATAAGCTGAGCTTTGTATTTGGGAGTAGCACGGGAATTTATCCACGATCAACGCCTCCGAGCTCAAAAGACACTTACTGTGCACAGTGCCTTGCCCTCACGCTAGGTCATCCCGCGCCGCCTTGTAAGTCAGACCTTGAAGTCAAAGGCTTTGGAGGGGATACCGGAAATAAGTCCCTATTAGCAGGCACAGAAGTCACCTCCCGGCGCATGACGCTGACTGTAAAGAAAAGAAAACACATCTTTCCTGGTTGAGGACGAAGGAGACAGGACTAAGAGTCGATATCCTCTTGTTGAAAAAGAACTCAAAGGCTACAGGACAGACGTCCATGCACCCGACAGGACCAGGCTGGCTGATCAAGGAAAACTAGTGGGGGTGGCTTTGACTGCACCTTTGAAGCTCTAATGCAAAGGCTGGTACATAACCAACACCCAAGCACACCCGAAAGCCAGTGGTTCTGAAGACGGACACATCCAATCCTGGACAGAGACGAGATTGGTTTGGTGCGAATGACTTCGCCTCCGTTACAGAGAAGAATTTGACGTTTGTCAAAACGATCGGAAATCTCACAAATGCACTGGCCCAAAATCCAACTAAAAGCACTAAAACCTCTATGGACGAAGGACACAGCAGCAACTCTATATCGGGAACGAAATCGAGGGAAGACGGACCGCGAAATCATCTGTGCACAGCAGACAACATTATGGCTCGTATCCTGCTGCTCAACCGACTAGTCGCTGACATTATTGAGGAAGATGTTCTTGAATAGCAGTATTAATAATAAAATAAGTAATAATTGTTCAGCTGTAGCAACCTTTTAGTGCCTAGCTGCCATGCCAGCGGAAGCAGACACGAGGGCTGGGTTACTACCAGGTTACCAAAGCCCAGACAAGAACAATCGAGATAGTGAGGTTGGGTTTGAACCACGGACCTTCCGGCCCGTAAGCTGGCGCCTTAACCACTGAGATATCTGGAACCCCGTTGGGGGCAGTGTAGATCTTGGAGTAATCGAATTACCATCGACCTATTTTTTGCCGCAAAGCAAATCCAAGTGAAATGTGAACGGAATCAACCTCTCTGTGAGCTGTTTATGGGCTTCAAGCCATCGACTTATTGAACACAGAAGCAGTTTGAAGTACCCTACGAAAGCTTAGCTGTTCGGACATATATGTCAACCTGATCGAGGCCTCACACTGAGATAAAGGCTCCGGTTCGGAATTGCGCGACTACCTTGAACGAGTTCGAAATCGACACCAGAGTGAAGCAGGGCTGTGTTCTTATCCCAGCCCTATTTAACAACCATCTTCAACCACCACCCCCGTTGCGAAAGTCGTGTACCAATGCAATACTGTTTGGATTGTTATTTATTCAGTTCAAAGCATGTTCTTTCCAGAACGCCGCTGTGCGAGTTCCATAGCTGTATGCTACTGTTTGCAGAATAACCCTTATGTTGGCATTCTGATGCAGAAGTACAGTGACTTGTTACGCCGTTCGGCTCAGCGACATCTCACTTTGGATTAACACTAAAATATTTGTCTTTTATCAGCCTGGTCCGCGGATTCAACATAAGGCAACCAAATAGTTGTGAGATAGCGTAGTGCACAAATTTCCGCCAGCATGGCAGTACAACATCCATATTCCTGGTTCCTGATAAAAGTACAAATTGGCAATCTGTCAAATACGGGTGGATAAGGTTCGTTCACTGATGTTTAGCCAGGTGGCCGTTGATCACCGAGCTTGGCTATTAGCTTGAAAGGTTTTCGTCACCATTCGAAGAGGCATCATCGTTTACACTCTCGGATGTGACATAGGCTCAGTAGCATATCAATCCCACAGGTGACTCACCTGAGGCCCAGCCGAATCTCTCGCGTATGATGTTTTACGTCTATGCAAAGTACCGAAAATGTTTTCATCCGATCGGCCAATTTTTATATTTCTACTGTAACCCTATTGGTCCGTTCACAGTTTGTGTTGCATTGTGGTCTGCATCTCTCGTATTCGACTGGTTTGATGTTTGGGTTCTTTTTGAGGGCTTTAGGCCCCACCACACAAAGTGGATAATATTGTATCAGTAGTAACTGTGCCTACTAGCCTTCCAGTGCTGCAATTAGCATCGCAGACTTTTTACATAGATGCTAAAAGACATTGTGGCCACTAGCTCCGGTCGTTTCAGTCATCCCTGAACTTCAAAAAAGATAAATGGTGGTGGATTATGCTTTTGTCACTCGTACTCTTAGACTATGTACTCTGCCTGTCAGTCATTCCCGGCACTGGCGCCTTTAGGAGTTCCCCTTTTCGTTCAGTGAATTTTTTCTTGGTCTTTTAATCATAACAAGAACTGCTCGTCTCACAGTCTATGAATTATGTCCAGTTGCACCTCAACTGCTCCTGTCTAAGTTTGGACAACTTGAAAGTACCTCAGCCCCCGCTCCTTCTTCGAGTTGCATGGCAGCTAGGCACCGAAAGTGTCTTAAAGCTAGACAGTCATCTTTATATATATATATATATATATAT